TTAGAAATATTATTCCACAAATGTGGCGCTATGAAACTGAAAGATTTTTGAAAGTTAGCTGTTCGGTGTTGAAGAATTTTAAAATAATGCACTTGCCTAGTCGAATGATCATGGTCAACGTAGTGAAACAATGAGAACAAATAGGGAGTCCGCTCTGTAGTTAAAATTCGATAAATGAATGTCATTAAATGAAATTATTACAAATCTAAACAAAAATATTTGATATTATAATACAGTCATTAAAAAAGTCTAGCGATAATTTTAGAAAATCATAAATAAAATAAAATGGCGATTGTTTAGTAAACGGTTCTTCCCTTAGTTTTAAAAAATATTTAGTTTTTTTTTCTCTGGTTTGCAAAGGAAAATTCATATTGTTTATAAATAATAAAAAGTTCATGTGCAAAGTAGTAGTCATGAAATTCATGTAATAAGTACATTAATTATATGTATGTCAAAAGATGTCCATTTACATTATAGCAACCAAAATTTAAAACAATAACCGTATTAAATTGTAACGGCAACAAAAAAGTAAGGCCGCAAAATTCCATTTTTGGTACACCCCAATAAAATTTTCACAAAAGGTAGGTAATGATTTGTCAAACCCAAGTGGGTACCTAGATTATACTTATTCAATACCCTTTCTTAAAAGGGAAACAGAAATTGTTATTAAGTTATTAGTAATTAGTACGTACCATGTACCTTTTTTCTACAAATAATTTAATTTATAAATATATAATTTATAAAACATAATAAATTAATAATTATACAATTTAAAAAATAAACCAAAAAATAAATATAATTTAGAAATCTGTTATTTTTTGCCTAGGTCAGCCTCTGATCTACAAAGAAGAGGATATAATAATATAGCTAACCCTACTTATTTTTATTTACCGGTGAAAAGTTAAATATGGATTTAAATGATACACTCTCTTGTACACAATGCATGATTGCACCATATTTTCAAATTAATGTCTACAGAAGTCCACAAAATAACGCAAACATACTATAATACTGCAAATAAAGAATACGGAGCTTGATCGGCGGCATAGCAACATCGCAACAGGAGAATCTAGGAATTTTCATTCATCCTCGAAATCCGTTGTACTACGCTGGCATATTTCTAAAACTGACGTTGCCAAACTGCTTTTTATTATTAAAAGAAACACGATCATGATATTTTTATTCCATTATAAAATTTAAAATAGTTAAGAAGCTAAGCATTAAATGAAAAAATTGACGTTAGCAAATTAATGTACTTGATGTATTATAGAAATATAACGAAATTATTTATTACTTAATAATTGGTTGTGGTATTTAATCGAATACTAATACCAATATAGAGGTAAATCTGGCAAATGTTTTCGGTGTAAGAGAGATGCGAAAATAAGGATAGAATAATGGCCGATGAAGGAAAAAGGTAAGGATTGTATCTCTTGAGTTTAAATATCTTTGAACATATCCATTCCTTCCGCCACCAGACACTGCTTCATTTTTCTTGATAAAATAATAAATACTTACTTATTAATTGTAGGTAAATTAAATAAAAATATTCTGTTATAAATTTAAATAAAGCCCATAAACTAATGTAGATTTTGAAAATAGCTACTAAGTGTCACTAGAAAAAAAGAAAAAAAAAACACCAGCCATCTTGATTACAATTTTATTGAAAAATCGCTTTTTATTCAAAACCTGAGCCAGATAGGTATAGGAAACCCTAATATAGTTTGAAAGAGCATTTGAATCTCCTTCGATTTATTTAAAAAAATACAGGATGTTGTATTTGAAATAATGAAGTTTTTAAGTAAAATAAATATTTAAAATAGACCAGTAATTATTGATACCTGATACCGCTGTATACATTAAACGACGCAATCAAATTTTTCAGTAAAGTTTATTTCTCTACCTTTAAACTCAGCACAAGAATTAATTATGAAAAGCAATGTACAGGGTATAATAATATATTCTATGGTAGCATGCATTTTTAAATATCTTTAAATATATCAAAAACCAAAGATTTTAAACATATTTAACCCTTATAATAAATACCTTTTTTTGAGCATAAGAATCCAAAAGTGAAATAAAGTACCGGGTGTGTGTTCCATAAGAAAAAATATAACTTTGGTATGGATCTTAGTTCTGAAACACCCTGTATATTTCAAAATAATTTTAAATTGTGCACATTGCCTCCCAACCTATACCCATAAAATATTTTGTTTCTACAGCTTTCCGTTTTCGTATAATCAACGGAGGCGAATGAGGTGCGCCAACCTGTATACAGGGTGATTTACAGCGATGGCGCGTTAAACGTTTATGGAGAACCGGTGATTTTTTGAAAATTTGTATTTTCTGCTCCATCTTTCTAAAATATTTTCAGCATTACTGTGTTGCCGCTTCCTGTGTGTAAAATTGACATAATATGTCGTGAATATGAGTAGGGGTAGAAGGGGGTTTCTGCGCCAGGAGCAGGAGCAAAGCGCACTGTGCATGCGCGTAAATCAGCTAGGAACATGTAAAATACGTTAATAAACAAGAATAAACAGGTTTGAACGGCTTTGAACAGCTTTAAAACAGAAATAAATAGGTATGAACAAAAAATGAACAGGTCTGTTGTTTTAAGCTAAAAAGCGGTTCAAAGCTGTTCAAAAGCTGTTCAAAGCAGTTCAAACCTGTTTATTCTTGTTTATTAGCGTATTTTACATGTTCCTAGCTGATTTACGCGCATGCGCAGTGCGCTTTGCTCCTGCTGCTGGCGCAGAAACCCCCTTCTCCCCTACTAATATGGATTGGTAAAACCATGAATTAGAGATCTTAAAAAATTAAATTTGGGTTATAACAACGCGAAGTCCATATACAGGGTGATCCGAACTGTATTCCGGAAAGTTTGGCAGCATATTCTGCAGATAAAAATAAGTAAAAAGTTCGTATAAATGTATATCCTAAAATGCTTAGTTTCGAAGATACAGGGTGTAGAAGTTTCAAGTTTTCGATTTTTTTCAAATAATTTCTGAAGTAACGTCAATATTAGGATGAAAATTGTGTCTAGCAGTTCTTTGACATGAGAAAATGGATTTTGATGTCAACATGTCTTCTACTTGTAGAGGGATGGCGCCACCTACATATTTTTTAATTGGTTGGAAGAGTAATAACTTTTCTCCCGTACCTGTATAAAACTACTGAGCAAAAAAATGTACATTTACGATGTTTTTTACGCAGAAAAGGTCTCTTGGTAAAAATCGCTAGAAGTAATGGTTCTAGAGATATTTGGAATCGAAATTATCAATACCTGTCGTCATCGACATAAATTAAACATGTTGACTAAATAGCTATTAGACCGCAATCATAAATTTCAAATGTTTTATGCCAAAAGTTTAACAGAAACTTCATTCAAAAACATTATTTTTCGAAGAAAAATTTATGATTAATTTAAAAAAATAAAAAATTCCCAAATTTATCATTTTACTCAAATAACTATATACTCAACGTGTTTATTTTTCGTCAATAATGACATGTATTGACTATTTCCATTCTAAATATCTTGAGAACGGTTTCTCGTAGCGATTTTTACCAAGAGACATCACGGAAATGTATATTTTTTCAACCAGTAGTTTTATACAGGTACAGACGAATAGTTATTGCTCTTCAAAATAGTTATAATAGATGTATGTGGCGCCCCCTACAAATAGGAGTCATATTGACATCAAAATAAAATTTTTCATGTCGAAAAACTCCCAGTCACCAATTATTTGGAAAAATTTCAATTCAGGTTACTTCAGAAATTATTTGGAAAAAATGGAAATAAATATGAAACTTCTACACCCTGTATCTCCGAAACTAAGCATTTTAGGACATACATTTATAGGAACTTTTTTTATCTATTTTTATCTGCAGAATATGCTGCCGAAGTTTCCTGAATACAGTTTGGACCATCCTGCATATTCGATCTGTCTAAATAAACCTATTGGATATTACTTATGTAGAGCAAAAATATTATTTATTTTCGTTTGTTATAAAAGTGCTAAATCTTTGTTATTTTAAATTCAACCCTATGTGTATTATTTAAAAAAGCAAAAGACTAATCAAAATTGCGTTTTAACGATATGTCATGTTCCTATACCTAAACCTTCCGGTTTCTTAAGTAGAGCTATTTAAAAATTAATAATTCTATTATTATAGTTTCATTTCAAGAAATTCGTTAGCATAACAATTTTAGAAATTTAGCAAGTAAACTCTAATTAATTGATACTTATAAAGTTTAAATATTTGTCATGGTAACGATTGTGTTTAAACGAAACAATTATAATAAAGGTATTATCTTTTAAATGGCTACTGAAGAAACCAGAACGTTTAGGTAAATGAACATGATATATCCTTGAAAATCAATTTTATTTGGGTTTCGATTTTTTAAATAATATACATAGGCTTGATTTTAAAATAACAATAATTTGATCGACTTTACAACAAACGGAAATAATTGTTTTTTCTGACCTCCTTGTTTGATATCCAATTAGTTGATTTGGACAGATCGAATATGTTGACTTTCCTCATAAACCAAATTTTAGCTTTCAATATGTCGAATTTACGACTTATTCAAGATCATGTTTTCGTCAATTTTATACATGTTTTATTTTTTATCTCAAAAACTATTAGATATTTAGGTTAGTATAATACAGAAAAAATGAGATTTGGAAGTAGTTTCGAAAAATATAATAATATACCGGGTGTTCCATTTGAAATTCCAAAGTTGGTACACTTTTAGTATGAAGCGGCAACACTGTAATGCTGAAAATAAATTAGACAGATGGAGCAGATGCCTTTATGCAAAAATGCAAATTTTGAAAAAAAATCACCTGTTCTCCATGAACGTTTAACGTGCCATGGCCATGAATCACCTTGTATATAACGTAATATTGAAATATCGTTCATCAAACTATATCATATTATAACCTTGGCTTCCATCTAAAATTAAGAAGCATTTTTGTATGTATCAATAAAAAGGATACGAGTAAATTGTGACTTTATACAGGTAGGATTAAATTGTGCGTGGACGTTTTCATTTTGTGAACCTTCTTCTGTATCAATAAACACTATATTGACTATATCGTTGCCTATGTGCCTTTTCCTCTCAACTTGTTGTCGGTTGTCTCTCGAATAAGGTAATAGAGTTGACACGTGGAACATTATCTCGTGGCCCTCGTATATAGTATATACTGAGTATTTTCCAGTCATGTCACCTGCAACAAATTGGTAAAATTGTATAGGTATTTGATTAGATTTATAAATCTTACAATTAGAAAACTGGATGATATGACAAAAAAAATCGTTACAGAATTTTTTTCTGAAAAGTGTATGTACGTTGCTAGAAGGTATTTATCTGATTTATCTAATTTCAATAATGTATACACATCCGTTATAGTTTTAATAGTGTTATGGAAATTTCATAAAAGAATATATATATATATATATATATATATATATATATATATATATATATATATATATATATATATATATATATATATATATATATATATATATATATATATATATATATATATATATATATATATATATATATATATATATATATATATATATAAATTATTTAAAATGTTAATGTGTCCATCCGTTTTAAGTCAGCCATATATTGTTAGTATTGCGTATAAGCTTGGTGCATTTCAGTGGATTTTAAAAATTCCGACAGCAGCGCTCGGTACATGTACAGGGTGGGTCAAATTCGACGCTTTTAAATGGAAACACCCTTTTCTATAGGAGATAGACGAAAACTAATATAGGTGTCTGGAGCTCAATTTTCATCAAAAATATAATGGTGGAAACCGCACATCAATATCTGTTACCATTTCGGAGTTACGGGGTGTTTTTTAAAAATGTGCATTTTTAACAAATCGCTGTAACTTTTTTGCTATGGAAAATTTTGTATTTCTATGAAAACATTTCCAAAGCACCTTTTTACGTAGAATTTAATGGTTTAAGTATATTTTTTTTTAAATTAATAATTTAAGAGTTATCAACAGAAAAATTGATTTTAACATTGAAAATGTTTCTGTTATCCTATATAAGGGAGCCCAAATCGAATTAAAATGCTACATTTGCCACACCATGACGTCATATATACAAGGGTATAGGAAATCTCGGCGCAGCGGCGGCAGTCGGCCAGCGCGCGCAAAAACCGTTACATCGCTAATTGTTTATTGATATATCTTTATTAGTTTAAAACCAAAAAATATGGGGTTTGCTTTGATACCTTGTCAAGACATAAGCGAAACTTTTAAATTGTTTCTTTTTTTCATTTAGGCCTTCGTTTTTCGTTAAATGAAAGTTATATTAAAAAAAATCTATTTTTAAACCAAATTTTCGCATGATTGAAATGATTATTCATTTTCAAAGTTTTTTTTGGTCATAAGCGCTAATGGAAATGTTTTTTCGTAAATAATTATAAAAAATTACTCCCTACGAAGACTTTATTGTGTACTGGATCAAAAAATAAGTATTTGTTTTCTCTATACAGTGGTATTAATATATCGATTTTTGATGATAGTGCCCTTTTACTCGGTCTAATTTTGTACTACTTTCGGAATAAGGGTCCCCATATCATGTACTGTACTTCCATCCCTGAAAAATTCAGCTTGTGACACCGAAGTGAGAGGTAACGTCAAAATAAGCTTTAATCTACCTACATCATAGGTAGGTGTAGGTACTCTAGGTATATTCTACCTAGACAGTAGCTGAACTAGCTGACAGTAGTAATTAATTTGTTATCCGATAAGTAGTTGTCATTATATAAGTTTAATCATCTTATACCTCCTATAACGGTAGATTTTGGATTTTTCCTGATTGGTTTGTTAAACAAAAATATACTGGGCATATAAATGTCTGTTACAGGTTAATTCGTTAAAGAAATATGTTACACACATATTATTTTAATAATAATAGTAATAATAGTAATGGCTATATTATGTTATAACACATACATATGTATTGAATGTACTTATTTTAACCAATGCATTGTTTTGTTTTTTTAATCTCACAAATAAGAAATGTTTTATAGTTTTTATTATAAAAAACAGTAATTATACAATTTATTTACACCCCTTACACTGTTTTCTGCAAGGGGTGCAACCAGGAGTATATTTCGTAACCTCTTACGATATAAGAGGGCCCCCCACAAAGTGTTTTATTACTTAATGCTTAAAATTTAATAATATATTTGTACATAAAATAAAATAGACTAGAAACTCAATTAATTAATATTGACGTAATTACTAAATAAGTACAAGATTTTTTTCTAATTATTTTAGTGTATTTTTAGTCACCTAATTATAAAGGAGAGATATCCAACCATTGCATTATTTTACTCACAAATAAATGTTTTATAGTTTTTATTATAAAACAACGATTAATTTATTATACACCCCTTAACCCAAACACTCCTAGGAGGATATTTCGTGACCCCTTATTTAAAGTGGACAAGCTTTATTAGTCAATGTTTTAATTACCCAGCGTCTTTAGTAAAAATCTAATGTAATTTTTCATAGAAATGATCTGACATAAAAAGCAAATTTTATCAAAAAACTTTTTGATTATCTACAAGGAGTAAACCGCTGACAAATGTCTGTATACTAATGCCAAAAATTCAAATTAAATACCAAAATTTCTCATATAATGCCCCACTAATGCCAAGCTGATTCCAATATAATACCACTAATACTACGAATAATATGTAACACATTTGTTTCACGCATTAACCGCTGGTCTGCAGCATCGCCTTGTGGTGCAAACGTGGGCCTGTTAATCTGTGACGTGCCGCACAACAGCCAAGAAAAACAGAAGCGTGGCTAAGAATTTAGTAATTTAAAAAAAAGTTTTTTGGATACAGTAGTAGGTATTAAAAAGTTTTGTGTTTAAATGGGGTTTGCCTTTAACAGTTAAAAAATTATATCGTAAAGTGTAACTTTCCGTAAGAATTCTTTTTTTTTGCTTGCTTGTTTTACGGATAGGTGCGATCGCATAATTATTATTAATAATGTTTTATTTAATTTTAACATTACTACTTTTTCAGTGAATCTTTAAATCTGTTGTTTTTTGTTAAGTTCGTTATTTAAACATATGTATGTAATACACTCATATTAACACTAATCATATTTTTACGTTTTTATTCATCATTTTCAATGCCCCCCCGGTTGCATCTTTGTGAAGGACTGTGAATTTTTTAATTGGGACACCCTCTATATTTTTAAATAACTGAAAAGAATTTAAAATTACCTTTCGAAAAATATAGCACACTTGATATTTTGTTATAATTCCCTTCGAAATACAGAATTTTTAAAAGTTCGCCACTGTTAACTAGTAGGCTTTGGACCCCTTATTGATGATATGCCCTTATTGGAACTCGAAAACATATTTTTCCAGCAAGACGACACATCGCCTCTGAACGCTGAAGTTATCAGCAAATTTTTGCAGCCAATTTCAAGAATAATTGAATAGCTAACCAAGATCCCAGCCGTTGGCCGTCGAGGCCGCCTGACTTAGTGCCCATGGATCTAATCCTATGGATATATTTGCGGAAGAATAGAGATTCCTTATTCTTTCGTATAATCTAGACAAGAATTAGAAATACTTAGCAGTTATGAGAGGGTATCTTTCACTCCCACTGAGTTCCGCGAGTTCCGCGAGAAATGTTCAAAAACTGCCCCGTGTGTCCATAACAGAAGACGGTCGATTTGTTATTTATGTTTATTGTTATTAGATATAGTTTAAATTTGTTGATGTTGGTTAAATATATTTTAAATTGTTATAAAATTCTGCATCTCTCGTAGCAAATATTATTTTCGTTGTAATTGATGCTCACGGACAGATTTTTTTTTGCATTACAGCCGGTCCGTTCAAAGCCTACTTATTTAAAGCGGGCCGAATTTTTATATACTCTATATCTCGAAGAGCAAGCGAGCAAAATATGAAGTGTGTTATATTTTTGGAAAGGTAATTTTAAATTATTTTCAATAAATTAAAAATATACAGGGTGTCCCATATAAAAAATTACATTTTCTGTTGATAATTCTTAAATTATTAATTTTAAAAAAAATTATACTTAAACCAATAAATTTTACGTAAAAAGGTGCTTTGGAAATGTTTTCATAAAAATACAAAATTTTCCATAACAAAAAAGTTACAGCGATTTGTTAAAAATGCATATTTTTTAAAAATACCCCGTAACTCCGAAACGGTAACAGATATCCATATGCGGTTTTCACCATCATGTTTTTGACAAAAATTGAGCTTCAAACACCGACATTAGTTTTTATCTATCTCCTATAGAAAAGGGTGTTTCCATTTAAAAGCGTCGAATTTGACCCACCCTGTACATGTACAAAATCGTGGATTTACCATAATATAGTTAAATAATTTAGCTTTTACTAGTGCAGTTATTGAAACTATTCTCAGGTACGAAGTTTGTGTGATGTAACACTGTTTCGGGTAGTAAAATCAATGAAATAGAACCCAAACTGGGCACCGCATTAACGAAAAAATGTCAACACAAAAAGGAAAGCATAAGTGTGAGGTTGTTGGATACTCAATGCAACAACACTCTCCCGGAATATCTTACAACTTCTCAGCTTTATCACATTAAAAAGTTCACATTATCACATTATCGAGTTTAAAAGATCGGTGATGCTAATTTCTAACACTTAACAAACTTTTTATGAAAATGAAAGAGTATCACACACCTTTTATATCTAAACCACCTCTATATTTGTCCCAGCCTTTTAATCTTATTTTGTCGCCTAGTAGAGATAGGAAATGGTCGAATCTGCTACTTCCATGCTCTAAAAATAAAAACACATTGTTAGTTACGACAATAATGAAATTTTATCTTTATACAGGGTGTTTCAAAACAAATGCGAAAAGCTTCAGGGGGTGATTCCTTGTTCAAAATAAAGGGTAGTTTGCTTTATAAACGTTGGGTCAAAAGTCAACCATTAGGGAGATATCTCGGTACAAAGATGGCGGAAAAATAATGTTTTTATTTTTTATCTTGAAAACGAAAAGAGATAGACTAATGAAATTTTACGGAAGCATTACTGTTATGAAAACACACTTTCTGGTAATTTTTTCACTTTTTTAAAATGAGTGGAAGGGGTTGAAATAAACTACCCCTATCATTCTTGTTAATGAAATTTAAAGAAAATCTTATCAAACACATGCAAAAAAATTAATTTTTTAGCTTAGTTTATTTAGAAACTTTTTTCTCTTGTATTTTTGATAAATTACTGATTTGAAATTAAAAAATAAAATGTAAAGCATTACATGTCAGGACAAAAAACATTTTTAGATAAAGAATCTAGTGGGCAGCTGTAATTTTTTTTTAGGAAAAAATCTAGTCGGCCGCTATCACTTTTTAGGATATTTCTATTATTGTTTTATTTGACATTACCCTACTGCAATACGTTATTATCACTAGATTCTTAATCTAAAAATATTTTTAGCCCTGACATGTAATGCTTTACATTTTAGTTTTTAATTTCAAATCGGTGAGTTTTATAAAAAAAATACAAGAGATAAAAAAGTTTCTAAACAAACTAAACTATCCAAATTAATTTTTTTGCATGTGTTTGATAAGATTTTTTTTTTAATTTCGTTAACAAGAATGATAGGGGTAGTTTATTTCAACCCCTTCCACTCATTTTATAAAAGTGAAAAAATTACCAGAATGTGTGTTTTCATAACAGTAATGCTTCCATAAAATTTCATTAATCTATCTCTTTTCGTTTTCAAGATAAAAAATAAGAACATTATTATTTTTTCCGCCATCTTTGTACCGCGATATCTCCCTAATACCATCTACTAAGCATTACAAGAAGCAGTCTAGCTATGGGATATATACCAACCACATGGAGAAGAGCAAAAGTAATCTTCATACCCAAAATAGGCAAAACTGACTGGACAAATCCCAAGTCATTTAGGCCTATTAGTCTCACATCGTTCATACTAAAAACGCTGGAGAAAGTAGTTGACAACCATATTGGAGAAAATCATCTAAAGGTTAAACCACTGCATGATAGTCAGCATGCATATAGAACGGGCAGATCCACAGAAACTGCTCTGTACCAATTAACGGAGCTAATACAGACAAGTCTGGATAGCAAAGAAACAGCAATTTGTGCCTTCTTGGATATTGCGGGGGCGTTTGACAATATACCACATAAGGTGGTCAGGCGATCTCTAGAAACAAGAGGGGTGAACAGAACTATTATTCGCTGGTTTTGGGAAATGCTGTCAACACGAACAGCAGAGGCTCAGATGGGCACCAAAACTGTAGCTGTTAAAACAACGCAAGGAACTCCACAAGGTGGAGTAACCTCCCCTTTGCTGTGGAGCTTGGTGGTGGATGAACTACTAGATGAATTAACTCTAGCGGGAATACACTGCATTGGGTATGCAGATGACATAGTCATGATCGCTCGGGGGAAACATGAAGGCACCTTGTGTGATATTATCCAAAGAGGACTCCGTATCACTGAGAGATGGTGTAGGACTGTCGGGCTGAGTATCAACTCAGACAAAACCGCGATAGTGCCATTCACCAGAAGGCGAAGTCTGAAAAACTTGAAAAGAATCCAACTAGATGGAAAGGAAATACTGCCAACACAGGAAGTTAAATACCTGGGAATAACCCTGGACAGTAAACTCCTGTGGAACAGGCATATTAAGAACACTACCAGCAAAGCCATAAAGGCTCTCATGATATGCAGAAGACTGGCCGGAAATAGATGGGGCTGCTCCCCTAACATTTTGCGCTGGATGTATACCATGATAGTAAGACCCATGATTACTTATGGAGCAGTTGCCTGGTACACAAAACTAGAGCAACGGACGGCAAGGCTAAACCTATGCAAAGTCCAGAGACTAGCATGTGTTTGCATTACAGGAGCCATGAGAACCTGTCCAACAGCAGCAATGGAGGTCATTCTAGATATAATACCACTGCACATTGTCATTGGTAGATATGCCAATGCTACAATTATTAGAATGGTCACTAACGGAATTAGTACTGGGAGAATTGTCAGATCAGGGGCTTGGAACACCCTCAAAAAGGAAATACCACTCCTGCAACTCCCAGTGGACGATATGCCAAGAACGTACAACTTTGACAAACATGTCAATGTAGTATTGAGCAATAAGAAGGATTGGAATAGCGAAACGCTTGCCCAGCAGTTAAAAGACCATACCATAACTTGGTATACTGATGCTTCCAAAACCAATACGGGAACAGGGATCGTAGTGTTTGGGCCGAGAGCTAATTACTCCGAACCAATGGGAACTTACCCTAGTATCCTACAGGCAGAAATCTACGCTATCGAGAGATGCGTACAACTTATCTTAGATAGGAACTATCGGACACAAGAAATAGCCATCTTATCTGATAGTCAAGCAGCGTTAAAGGCGATCAACTCAGTATCAATCGATTCGAAATTGGTCAAAGAATGCTTAGAGAAGCTGAATAAATTAGGCAAAGAAAACAAAGTCCTCCTACACTGGGTGCCTGCTCACCAAGGGATAGAAGGCAATGAAAGCAAATAATCTAGCTAGGAAAGGAGGAACACTCCACTAACTGGACCAGAACCGTTCTGCTTTTCAAGTGGTAACCAACTCAAGGCGGAACTCAAGAATCCTGGAAGATTCCATCCGCAACCTGGAAATGGAAATCTTGCAATGGTCTAAGACACTCGAAGAAGTTTCTGAGGGCTTATGATCAAGAAAAATCACAGATCTTTCTGAGTAAGAACAATCTTCGGATTGTCACGGGGTTTTTAACAGGACACTGTCTCCTCAATGGACACCTCAGTAGATTGAAACTAAGAAGAAACGGCGAATGCAGATTCTGTGGGAAAGATGGGGAAACACCAGTACACCTCATCACTGAGTGCGCCGAGACGACAACCATTCGTGCCATGAATTTTGGTACGACTGATATTGGAGATGGAGAACTACCCTCTATAAAACCGTCCCAGATACTGGCTTTTGTCAAAGCCCTGGGACTGTATGATGAGTTATGATTCAAGAAAGGGGGACACAATGGATCTGTAAGGTCGAAGTGATTAACCCCCCAACCTCCCACTCATTCTAAATTCTAAAAAAAAAATCTAATCTCCCTAATGGGACCCAACGTTTATGAAGCAAACTACCCTTTATTTTGAACAAGGAATCACCCCCTGAAGTTTTTCGCCTTTGTTTTGAAACACCCTGTATATGCTACTGTAAATGTCCGAAATGCGGTAAAACCTAGGATAAGCGCGCTAAACCTAGGATTTACCAAAAGCATTAACTAATTATGTTAGCCTGGTTATTTGGAGGGTGTTAATGCATTGGTTAGGCTGGTTATTTGGAAGGTGTTAATGCATTGGTTAGGTGGTTATTTGATGGGGTTAAATTGTTTTTACTACCACTTGCTTTTGATAAATCCTTGGTTTTACCGCATTTCGGACATTTACAGTAACATATACAGGATGTCCCAGAAATGAGTGCAGATATTTTAGGGGGTGGTAGATCTGGTCAAAATAAACATATTCTCTCTTTACCATTTTTAAAATAAATTGAAAATAACCGAGTTATTTAACTTTGAAAATTCAAAAAAATAATTGCAGCATTTTGAGAACCGCCGGCAGATATTGCCAACTACATCCAATTAGCCCGATCAAGCCCGGATTTCAGTTAATTCGACGCACTGTGTTGCCATATGGACAAGAAAGTTTATGTTTAAAAGTCAATAAAGTCATAAAATCACAACACCTGAGGAGTTTGCAGAAATGCATTACATTTTTAAGATTGTGATATTATTACATAAAATAAATGAAAAGTTAAATGTTTAAAAGTTAAAAAAGTTAAATTAAAAAACTTACCCAACATTAAAAAAGATACTTATGACAGATCGATGTAACTGCGACAGTTCTCTTTTTCGATACACACTTAACTAAAATACACTTCATTGTGCTGCTTTACTTGTACATGCTATTATAAAATCTGCTAAAATAACACTCCCCATTTTTAACTTAACACATTATTTTCATATAGGCTTCATCACAATTTGAACCACTGATTTACAAAACACCTTGAAAAGCACACATTACATACTACTGTGAATACCTTTCTGAATGAATAAATGTTGAGAATTATTGTCTCCTACCGCCACTTTACGAACTACTTTCAATCTAAGAAAATACATGTTTCACTCAACAATTTTAAATACGTAATTTGTTTTTTCGCTATTTTTTCGATGTATTTCGACAATTCCGTCGACAGCCCAACCGTCGGCCAAGACAGTCGCGCATCACTGGTTGGTAACTGCTCACTGCTCCTTTGTCGCGCCGGCGTGTCGAGCTTGCGTCATGCAGGTTGCCGTAGTTTCATCAATTTCAAATTCAAGACACTCAAAGCAATCAAATTCTTATTAAATTTTAAAAATAAAACAGAAAAACATGAAAGGAAACAAACAAAACAAAAATGAATTGATTATTGATAAGATCACAAAAAAGAAATTTCTAAAATGTTTATCGTAATTCAGAATTCAATATATCGAAAACAGCCCGACGAATAATAAATTCATTTTTGTTTTGTTTGTTTCCTTTCATGTTTCTCTGTTTTATTTTAAAATTTAATACGAATTTGATTGCTTCGAATGTCTTGAATTTGAAATTGTTGTAACTACGGCAACGTTGCTTAACATCATCGTCTGACGCAAGCCCGCCACGACGGCGCGGCTCAAAGGACCAGTTCACACGTGGCACTCTTGGCCGACGCGCGACGGTTGGTCTGTCGAAATACATCGAAAAAATAGCGAAAAAACAAAATACGTATTTAAAATTGTTGAGTGAAACATGTATTTTCTTAGATTAAAAGTAGTTCGTAAAGTGGCGATAAGAAACGGTATTCAAAGTAATGTGCGTTTTTCAAGGTGTTTTGTAAATCAGTGGTTGAAATAAAACAGAGAAACATGAAAGAAAACAAACAAAACAGAAATTAATCGATTATTTGTTGGGCTGTTTTCGATATATTGAATTCTAAATTACGATAAACATTTTAGGAATTTCTTTTTTGTGACCTGGTTGTGAATAATATGATGAATCATTTTCGTAAACGTCATAAACGTAATGTTTCATCCTTTAAGTTAATTTTCGGTGGTTTTTGTTAAGTTTTCATTGAAAGGGTAAGTACTAAAAATAATTAATGTTTTTTTTTTCTATAATAATTATTAATAATGAGCACTGATAAAAGATTAAATTTAACATTCCTAATTTTTGAGTAGAAATTTGTCTATGAATTTGTAAATGTAGAACTATGTAGAATGTGGATAACATAGGAGGTTGCAACACTGCAATGTTTAGATACACCGTAGAGAAATCTCAGGTGAATAAACAAGTGGCACTAAAAAGTTTTTTCAAATTTTCCGGAAAATGTCAAGAAAAATTTTAAATTTTCAACATTTTTTTTCGCAAAAAAAACCTCATAGGCATGTTTCTGTGGTTGAACTATACTACCAGTTAAAATATTTGCACTTATTTCTGGGACACCCTGTATATTTAATCTCTATTAATACGTAATATAAAAGACGAACAAAACATCTTATATGTCTTATCTAGCTGTATATCATCTTGTACAGCCACTTGTTGCTAACTGAACTAGCGAGTGCTGTGCTCTGCGCATCTCGCTCTCTTTATTCGTTCGGCGCGTTGCGTGTCGGTACACGTGTTGACCGCGTGGTTCTATTATTACGTCATTCACGTCTATTCATTGTTATACAGTGTGTATTATAAAATAAATAGTATTTGAATAAAACGATCGAAAATATTTCGTATTATGGTGAAAATATAAGCTGGAATAATAGTTAGGATTTATTTTTTCAGTTTACTCAACTGTAACAGACGTATTTAAAATAGTGGGAGTTTTGCTAGAACTAGTACAATTTAAAATAATATAAATAAAGTTTTTTTTGCGCCTTTTTGTATAAATAGTTCAAAGTACTGCGAATTTATAAATTTACAGAATGTGAGTAACGTAAGTGGCAGCATTCTCTATATGCATGGCAAAGAAATTTTTGGATAATGAATAGTGGCACTCAAAAGTTTTTCAAAAAGAAAATTTTGGGCGTGTTTCTAGAGTCGAACTATACTAGGTACCAGTTAAAATACTTGCATTTATTTCTGAGATACTCTGTATAAATAGTTTATATTTTAGATGGTAAATGTGTCTAACATATAAATAATATATAATTATTTTTAAAAAATTTCTGTTTAATACATAGTTTGAAAATTTTATTAAGTAAATAACTTACCATTGCTTAAAATTTCATCATCACTGGTTTGTCCCTGTTTCATGTAGATAACGCCAAATTTAAAATTAACCGAGCCTTCTTGTTCTTCTAGGAGAAGCAGATCTTTCTGGATATCGGGCGAGAATATTTCTTTTGGTCCTTTTTCGGCCTTGTCTATATTGGGAAATTTCGATAGAATTTGTTTGACCGTCATCACTTTGCTTTGAGGTATTGGGAGTGAGAGTTTTTGAGCACCCTGGAACAATCAAAAGAAATTAAATGTAGAGATAAATAAAGTATCAAATCAATCATTTTTTTGGTTAAAACAGTTGCGACTAGAACGATTTGAGAATTTACTTGAGAGTTGCGACGAAAAAATTTGAGAATTTGACCCTTAAAAATAAATTCAAAAAATAATAAAATTATTATCTGTCAATGTTTTTTTACTCGCGAAAGAAATTTTGCCTAACCGACAAAAAATGCCTAACGTTTCAGGATGTATATTACTTCATGTTGTCAGAAGCACAAAACTAAAAATGAATATACAAAAGTATATTGTTTTGTTAGGAGTGAAAATTATACTTTTTGTGGCAAGGGAGTACGTTTGGCATTACAGGCGAGGCACAAAAAGTTATTTTTACAAGTCAATTATCATCTCTCTTGACTAATTTCACTTAGTTTGCATGGTGTTCTTATTTTGTTATGATTTACTTATAAAAAGACAAAATACATATATTATTAAACGGCTTTTTACAATTTATATTACACAAACTAAAACTTTAAAAAAAAATAATACAATACATACACTTTAAGTTATTTTAGAATATGTTCAAAAAATCCGCTATTGTTTTGTGTTCATTAATGCATCTTTTTAAAACTGAATTTCTAACTACCGCAGAACGACCGGTCGACTTAATTAAACTATTCCTGTACCGCCTCTTCGAGTGCCTCTCTTAATTCATAAATTCTTTTGTAAACCTTGTTATTAACCGTACCGCATAAAAAAGATCCAAAATGGATAGGTCAGGTGATCGAGGACGCCCATGCAATTGGTCCAACTCTTTCTATACCTGAGTCTACATTATTATTGTGATATAAATAACTCTTAATATTTCTTTCATTGTGGGGGAGAGGTGATGTGTCATAATGAAAGTCAGGTTGTATTGCACATGTTGTAGTGCACCACTCTATTAATGTGCGAGTATCTAAATTTAACTTTTCTAACATGTCTTGAAAACCGTTTTTTAAAAAACGTAAGTAACGTTCACCGGTCAACGTATCCTCGAAACTGTATGGCCAAGAAAAGTCGAACCAATAATCCTACACGCTTTTCTAAATTTGAAAAATTCATATTTACAATTTTTGTTTATTTTAATTTACAAAGTTTGGAAGTGACAGTTTCACATTTCTGAGAGCAGCGACAATTGAACTTGTTTCCATGGCTAACTAAGTGAAATTAGTCAAGAAAGATAAGAATTGGCTATAACTAATTGGCTGTAATTTTTTGAAAAAAAAACTATTATAGATTATATCGCTGAAAAGCTTAAAAATGGCGCTTTTTATGAAGACATGGCCAACTATGGTTTCCATTTAAAAAAATATATGTTTGTGTCATATATCAAAAATAACAGACTTTAGAAAAAATCGGAGAACACATACTCATTAGGGATGTGATTATCTACAAATTTTATCTGAAAACTTTTTGCCTAAAATAGATTATAATGGAATTAGGGACAATTTTTAAAATGGCCAAAATTTGTTTTTTTCGAAATATCTAGTAAGCCATGCATTTTTTCTGAAAATCTGAAAGGCGCATATTTATGACCCCACAAAACTGCAATTCTTTCCCCATTTAGTATCCCCGACTCTCTATCTCCAGTAGTTTCCGAGATATCCATAGAGAACATCGTAGGAAACCCTGTATATTACCCGCTTAAAAATAAGTACTATATAGGGTGAGTTTTAAATAAGTGCAAATATATAAGGGTGGTATATTTTAATCCCAGAAACTTCTATGTGATTTTTTACCCAAAAAAGACAATTTGGTATTTTTCGGAAAATACTTTGGATTTTTAGTTAAAAAATATATCTTGATTTTATGGAAACGTAGGTAGAATATTAAATTTACAAGAAGAAAATAATCCAGTGGTTCTCAAAATTTAAGCAAAAAATAATTTTTTTCTTAATTTTAATATTTAAATTCTCTTTCAAACTATAGTAGGGTTTCCTATACCTATCTAGCTTAGATTTTGAATAAAAAGCGATTTTTCAATAAAATGGCAATCAAGAGGGCTGGTGTCGCCATGACAATTTTCTAGTGACAGTTAGTAACTATTTTCAAAATCGACATTAGTTTATGGACATTATTATGTAGATTTATAACAGTTTACTTAAATTTAAAATAACTCAGTTATTTTGAACTTTGAAAAACGCTGATGAAAAAATATGTTTTTTATCGAGTTCTACCGGTCCTAAAAATATTTGCACTTATTTAAGACTCACCATATATAAAGAATATACTGTGTAAATACTATGAATAATGTACTCAAAAGTGAGTGGTAATGAAGGCTGAAATAGTATTAATTTTATGTACCTAATGCATAATATTGTATTCAAGATTTAAAAGTAGCTGATTTATGAAAAACTTTAATGCAGAAATATTTTCGAACTCCTTATACGAACTCGAACTCCCTATATATATATATATATATAATATATATATATATATATATATATATATATATATATATATATATATATATATATATATATATATATATATATATATATATATATATATATATATATATATATATATATATATATATATATATATATATATATATATATATATATATATATATATATAACACAAAGAATAGTTTTTAGTACATTTTTCGACGCTATTTTTTCAATGGCTCTTCATTAATGGAACCGTTATAAGCAAGAACATATTTCATATTCTCATCCTTTGTTAATGGGCGACGATAGTAAATTTAATGATGTAGACCTTCTATTTAGGGGTAGAAAGTATAATATGGAAAGATAAATGCCATGATGGATAATCCGTTTAGTTCAATTTAATTAATGAATAAACAAACAAAGAAATGTTAATCATGTATGACAATGTTATGAAAATAAAATAATATTTTTTTTTCAACCGTTTCATCTGTTCCAGAAATAAAAAAAAATGCTTTGAAAAGTTGGAAAATGTATGAAATTACTTGAGCTTAAAGATTGCTGTATATTCAATTATTCTATTCTATTATTATTATTCGTATACATCGCCAATATATACAAAGAAGCCAAAGCAAGAGTAATGATATATAAAACAACCCCAGAGTTCCCAACTGGCAAAGGAATTCAACAGGGAGACGCGATATCCTCAAAGTTGTTTACAGCAGCACTAGAAGAACTTTTCCGTCAGCTAAACTGGACTAGCAAAGGATTAAAAATAGATGGAAAATATCATAACCCTCTAAAATTCGCTGATGATATAGTCCTAATAGCCAATAGTCCTGAAGAACTACAAACACAAATTATTAACGAACTAAATACAGGCAGCAATAAAGTGCGTCTCAAAATTAATTTAGCAAAAACTAAAGTAATGTACAACAAAGTATTTAGTAAAAAAAATACATTCTAACAAATAACACAACACTGGAAATTATAGAAGAATAAATATATTTGGGACAACTAATATACAGCTCGGGATCTCTACTACCAGAAATCAACAGAAGAATTGAGTTAAAGAATTAAGTTAGCATGGAGTACTTATGGAAGAAACCCAATCATATTCAAATCTAGAATGCCACCTTATCTAAAGAAGAAAATATTCGACCAATGTGTATTATCAGTGAAGATATATGTCTGCAAAACCTGGACACTTAAAACGAACATCACAAGTAAACTTCAGGTCACACAACGCTCGATTTGCTGGGATAACCAAAAGAGGCCATAAAGGAATAGAGTTGATACGATAAAGAAAAACAGATAATAGATGTCATCGATGGAGTAAAATCTCTCAAATGGCAATGGGCAGGACACTTGGCAAGAAGAACGGACAACAGATGGACTACAAAAATCATCCGCGAAGATTTTTTTTAATAGGTTTAGGATCTGCTGGCAGACTGCACCTGTTGGTCTAGCGGCAGGTGGTTGTGTTGGGTTTGCTTGTAGCGACCGACTAAAACCCTTTCCCCTGTTTCCTCTCTCAAGTGCGGTTTGGTACTTACTTCAACCTCTCAAAGTATCCTTATTGTCTATTGTCTATGCCTATTTTCATCCTCTATCATTTCTTTCACTATATTTGTCATTATTCTGCTGACACTTTTCCACTCGTTCTCGCCTCTTCGGGGGACTGCTGCTACGGTGTCTTTTGTAATTTTATGTCCAAATTCGTTGTACGTTTGTACCCTGTGTGCTTCAAACTTTGAACATACGAACAATTCATATTCTTTTGCGTGTTCTGAAGTATCCACCTATCAACCTCTACTGCACAATACCCACGAGGAATAAAGAGCCCTGGAAGAAGACCGAACCTGAGGGGGAACCATGATATAAGGAAATGAGCATGAATAACTTGGGCTCGCATAGCTAACAATAGACAACAAAGGGCCCAACTACAAAGATAGTCTCTAAATATGTGAGGGAGGCTACATCATAATTGGAAATGATTGAATAAGATGAAAATTATGATAATGATTTTTAGTATTTTAATATTAAAATAAATCTTTAAAGAAATACATTATTATACTAGATTTTTATCTGACAGAAATTTTTAATATATTGATTAATTATTTCTTTTTTTTAATTTTTTGCAGTAGTGCAAATTAAAACAATATTTTTGAACAAATAAGTAATTTATTATCATATGAACGTGAAAAAAATCAAGACCGCTAGGCTCTTACATGCTTGGTCTTGGTCTTACGAAAGTCTTGTACTTGTCAAACACTAATCTTGGTTTTTAAGCAAGACCAAGACCACTTTTGACCAGTGACAATATATCTTGGATCGGTTATAAACACAAAAAGTGAATAATTATCACTAAGAATATGTGAACATAATTATAAAAAGCTCTGTAAGACAATTACTGAACACTTTTTGATATAATCTAATTCATAGTATCAATATATCTTTCAAAATTTATATTTTATCAAATTATATATAAATTACGCACTGGTAGTATATATTTAATCTATAAATGTCAAACGTATATTTGAAAATATGCAAACAGAACTGAATAAACACATTATTTGTATTGTATATTAGTTATTGATTGAAACACATAAACGGTTTAATAATATTTACACTCTACAAAAATAAAAAGTTGTACGTTCATTTTTCAAACGATAAAATCGATACAAATATCGACATATTAACTTGGGTTTAAATTATCAATAATATGAAGTTAAATTTAAAACACATTTTCTCTTTATCGTTTTCCAAATAAGTCCAAAATAACGGAGTTATTTTACTTTGAAAATTTCCAAAAAAAATGATTTTTTGCTAAAATTTTGAGAACCACTGGTTCTTTTCTAGATTTTCTTTCTTGTAAATTTAATTTAATACCTATGTTTTTATATCATCAAGAAATTATGTTTTTTAACTAAAAACTAAAAAAATTCTAAAAAAATTTTGAATTTTCAAATTTTTTTTTCGCGGAAAAAACCTCATAGGCGTGTTTCTAGGGTTGAACTATACTATCAGTTAAAATATATGCACTTATTTCGGGGACCACCTTGTATTATACCTTAAATTAAAACAAATATAATTTTGGTTATCACATAGTTAACAAAACGTGGGTCTTCTCTATTAGTCTATATAATATCTACTAACTTACTGTTTTTCTAAATAATATCGCTCTGTACAGAGGCACACAAGTGTTGTTATCTTCGTTCAAAACAATGCTGAGGAAAAACGGCGTTTTGTCATTGTCTAGCCCAACATAGTTTTGGTGAACTGAAAAAAAAACAGATCATTTATTACATATTTCACATACATAATCTATTGTATGTGTTGATAATATTAGGATTAGTAGCTTAAATATACAGGTCAGTATAGTATACAACTTATTTCATTAGAGTTGTTTGGACTCTAAACATATATTGTGTGTTTAAGTTACGCTTCGACCGTTTATTACCCTTTGGATTAAGTTTTAAGTACTAGTTTAAAACTCATTCGATTATGCACCTAAACTTGTAGAATAGAAATTGCCTGAGTAATATTTCCAGGAAGAATTAAACTTCCTAACTACATTGTCATGTTGATATGCAGTTTAAAGAAGGCGTCCATGTTTCTCAAAGAGATCTCAATTTTAAAATTATAAAAAAAGAAAAAAAGGGACTTTGAGTTTTTTATATTTAATATTTAAATGTTCTATAATATAGTTTTCTAGGGTTATAAAAATAAATTCAGACTGGTGATGAATGTGTCATTTAAGTAAAGGTGCACATATCTGTTTTATTCAAAGTATAATTTTTGGTATCTTTTATATCTTTATTTTTTTGTTTTTGTTTTTTGGATTCTTGTTATACTGATTTTGGGCACGAGTAAAAAAAATATACCTACTTTCACAGACAAAATGTTTGTGATTGTAGGTATTTCGCCACTTGCACATTAAGAAAATATATAGTTATTTTTTGTAAACACCGCTGCGTTAATTCAATGGGGACCACCTTGTCAGCGGTGTTAATAAAACAAATTTGCATAACGGACAAAAAATGCTTCGAATTGCGCTTCGAATGCAAAAAATGTAAGTATATTTCTTCCCGTCTTCCGAAGCAAAAAGACATAAAGAACAAAGAAAAAACTAGTTAAAATATCTAATTACAACTATTCAAAAACACTTCTTTTTTCAAAGTATTTTTCAACGTCTATAAAAAACGTCTATAAAAACCGTTGACATTTTGTTAAAGTAATAATTATTGTAATTTGTTAAGTTTCATTTAGAACCTCGAAATCAGTAGAATAAATTAGTAGTTTCAATTAGCCGTAGAAGTTTGTTCACCTAATTTTAATGTAAGCATTCAGAACGTCATAATTAGTGGTAGTAATTTTCAATTAGTGGAAAAAGTTAACAAACTTTTGACTTTTTTTTATAAGAAACTTAAACTCTGTTTTAACTTTTAGAATATGTTTATTATATTATTAATTAAGAAAATAGGTGCCCGGTGGCGTAGAGGTACAGGCTCTCGTCTACCAATCTCAAGGTGTGGGTTTGAATCCTACACCCAGCATTTCATCAGCCGACTATTTTTATTAAAATAAAAATAGTTTGTGTACAGTACATCTGCTGGATCTGTGTCTATGAAAGGAATGCGGACAAAAAACATTTAAATAAACAGCAATATATTTTATACGTCGATTTGACGAGTGCGTCACCGCAAATCGCTCCGCCCACTCATTTTATTGACTACTTGCAAATTTGTTGAATTTTTTTGATGGGACGCGTCGTCTATTTTTTTACGAAAAACATCGAGAGAATATCGTTTCCCCTCTCACGGATACCCCGCAGCCACAGAACGGACAGACGTACTGTACCTAGGTCGACTCAGCCTTAAATGACTACTTGGAACTCACAATCCTGACGTAACAATAGGCGGTTGAAGCGTAGTGCTAGCCACATTACCTTCCTTGTATACCGAACGGCTCTAGCATGGCAAGCAGCAGCTGTACCTTGCTACTCCCAAGGCGTTAAACGCTATATACGGGAGCTATTAATAATAAAATTATTATTAAAAAAAACCAATATTACTAATATTAAAAAATAATAATTAGCTTAGACAGTATTTCTTTATTTAACTAGTTGAAAAGCACTTAATATTTCTAGTCACCAAAGTTCTAATTCATTTAATAACTAAATTTCCAATCACCATTCACAATTTCTTAATATCATTATTGGTGATAGGCAAGTAAAATTGGCTTTGAAGAGTTTTAAAACGTAGGAAAAACAATGAAAGTACATTAAAAATATTAATAAAATTACTGAAACCTCGACCGAAACTTACAAAACAAAAACTTTAAAATGTAAATAAATATATAAAAATAAGTTTGCAGTAATCAAAATAGTAAAATAAACTTGCTCAAAGCAATTCTAATAACAGAAGCTTAATCAAGACATTTTTTTTTATTTTTAGTTATAATTAATTATTTCTATTTACCATGCATTATTAAAGCCAAAAAATACCCAGAAATCCGACAAAATAAAACCACTTTCAAACTATTTTACGCAAAAAAAATGGGTGATGGTGGATATTTGGTACGTCGTCAATCTTGAATTTATTGATGTAAATTTGATATTAATATATTCTACAATTAATGTTTTAACGTTTTAAGTACGGATCGTACGGATACTCGGCTAAATGTTAGAGATTTCTGCAATAAAATTATTTATTTCTTGAGGTTAGAATATCGCTTACATTTAATAAGAGTGACAAGGAAGACGCAGATTTAGGTTTATTTGCCTTTTGCTCGCGTCTGCGTATATCGCTGGCGGTAACAATGAAATATTGAAAATCTATTTCTATTATACTTATATACTATATACTATGTTCTATTTATACTTTCCTATTAATTTTGAAAAATACAGTAGCGATATTAAGCTGATAAGAATAGATATTATATTTTGACCTGTGTTAAAGGTCGAGAAGAGGATCACAATGGTAAAAACGTCCGCCGTAACTGAGTTTTGATTGCATCGGTTACAACATTTTTTTTAGGGGGGGGGTTGTTTATGGTGTTATTTATGTCATTATAAGTGTTCCTCTTTTCAATTCTATATAGAAAATTTTAAAATTTTGACGTACCTAAAGTCTACCAGACCCAAAATATATATTAAAATTTAATTAATTAAATTCGAACGCTACCGTACACCGCGATCGACCCACCCAGGCGAAAAAGCTATTATTTTCCAACTCCCCTTATCTCGACCGCCGCGCGCCGCCCGTTTTGCGCGTAACAGGTTAAACAATAACGTATCTAAAACAACTGCTTATTTTCTATACGTTATTCTCCAACCTGTTGCGGACCCAAAACCGACAATCGACCGATGCAGCAGCGTTACTTTCCCACTCCGGTTATCTCGACCGCCACGCCTTATGCCCACAACTATTTAAAAAAAGTTGCTTATTTTATATACTGTTATTTTTAAGCTGTTGCGACCCGAACATAACTGTCGACCGATGCAACAATAACGTTCGCCGTAGCGCATTCCCCACTCCGTTGTATCTGGACTGTCGTCGGCGCGCCGCCCGTTATCGATGGTTGTCGAAATAACAGATTTTTCATACTAGTTGTGCTGCCTTGATATATGTGGACTGTATAAATAAATGAACTGCACTTGTATAATATAACAACTATATTAATTTAAAGAATAATACTAAATTTAAGTGAACAGCAAATAAAAACGTTGTGGTTGCACCAAGGAACAAAAGCAAAGTGAAAAGTAATTTTTACCCGTCTCGCACCCTCGGACGGGGTTTAGGTACAGAAGCGCCGTTGCCACTTCTATTCGAACGGACATGAATTCATGGAATAAACCAAACTTAAAAATATATTGATTTACATTTTACATACGGGCTAACAAGGTGTTTTTTGGAATTGCTTAGAGCCGCATAGGATTTCATAGCGATGCAGAGCGCCGACTTCGTTTCATGAGCGGTCGATCTCTACGTGTCGTTATTTTATATCTGTTATTTTTTAGAAGTAGCAACGGTTGCGTTATGTTATTTCCAAATGACTGTTGTAAAATAACAGATAGTTAAATAACAACCCATCTCTACAACAAAACACCTACGATATTTAAGATTCTTTGATATATTTTAAAGTTTTATAATACTATGTTGTAACCAAATTACTTGACTTTTTAGTATCTCTTTCTAAATTAAAAATGAGAGTTCCCATCCGTCAACTATACGAGGGAAAACAAAATGTTGATATTTAAGTCAGATTTTAACAAACCATTGGAATATGTGAACAAAGCAAGGAATTTATTATATAAAAACATTTTATTTTTTCAACAAACTTATGGAATGGCGTTTATTATTTATGTAATGTCACTGTCAGTGAAAAATCATATTATTATTGTCTGTTGGGTAGTTAATCAACCATATATGGTTTTAAGTCTAGAAGTTGTTCTCTATCACGATAATTAATGCAACAATAGTGTATGGAACTTTTGGACTTAAACCCATCTCTGCTAGAGTTACTCTGAACAAACAATAATAATATGACTTTTCAGTGCCAGTGATATTAGGAAAACAATAAACTCTATTTCATAGGTGTGTTGATAAGAACCAAAAGCATACCTTTAATGATAAAAATGCTGTAAATCGTTACTGTTTCCTCAAAAAGCAAATATCTCTAAAAATAAAGCTATTGAGATGAACCAAAAATTAATTATCGAGAAAAGACGTACCTAAATGATAAAATTATTTTTAATTGCCTTGCTTTGTTAACTTATTCTATAGGGTGTCTTAAACTTTTCCCAAAATATCAACATTTTAGGAACTTTCATTTTTAATTTGGATAGAGGCTCAAATAATTTAACTACAAATTGCTTGAAAAATTATCAAAATCGGCGCATTAAAATGAAATATATTTAACTTTAAAATACATCGAAATTTTAAGGTGTCTTTTTTTGGTGCCGGTAAATGTAGTTACTATACTGTGTTAGAAATACTTTTCAAATCATATTTGAAAGAAATCTGATTTTTTAATTGGAAAGATTACTTTCCATAAGTAAATGTCACATCATATTACATGGTGACATATAAACAAGTCGCTTCCTAAGTCAAACATGGCTTCCTCATCAAAAGCAAAAGTAAAGCATAATAAAAGTAAATGACTAATTCAAAAATATTTACATGTTGCAGAAATACGAGCTAAATTGATTTTTTTTTTCAATAAAATATAAATATATTAATAAAAAGTAATGTGTTCTTTTTTTATAAATTGGATTA